CATGGGAACATAACATCGTAACAATAAGCTTTCTGCTTCTGTACCCCCGCTTGCACAACCGACCTGTGGGTTGACAGGTAGTGAATAAGAGAAAAATAGAACTTTGTGTTTAAGACAGAATGAGGAATGGGATTTAGGGCTTAAAAACCCTGTACCTCTACATTTCAGGGCTGCTTAATTTGGGGTCTGCATACCCCTGGCAGACCCAGCTGGCTGAATAAAGAGCATGTTTCCTATAACTCACTGATTTCTGGTGGTCCATGTGTCTTTCGGGGGCTGGCAGCTACAACACACCCAAACAGCTACTTAGGACACCAATGGCACTGCCATTGATACTGCCACTTCTCACCTCTGGCACTGCTGTCTATGGATGCAAAAGTCACTTCACAGACAATGGAATTAATTATAAAAATGTCTCTTCTTTGAATCACATACTCCAGATGCAGAGACCTAGATAGGAACCACCTCTGGTTAGCTGAACTTAGGTCACGTGACAATTCCCTGGGGGTGGGTGGAGTATTGGGCCATTTGTGCTTTTATGAGAGTTTGGATTTATCAACAAGGCATGGATGAATCCTCAAATAAACGAATCAGAGCGTAAATGAGGTTTTGGCTAGAAATAAATGATAAAGATTTATTCCACAGTCTTAGGGTTTCCAACCAGGAATACAACTAGACAATACCCAGAGTGTTTCAAAGAAAAAAAAAAAGCTGAGGGTTCTTAAAGTAAAAAATACATTTCTGAGAAGAATCGGTCCTGCATTCTTAGTCTGTGGATTGGTCTGAGATGGTAATCCTCTAGATGGCCGGTGGTTTGGGTAATGGATGCCAGATAGTCTGGATACATGAATATTCTTCCCTTAGTCCTTCAGGGGTTAATCGGAGGGTTATCTGGAGTTTAATGTATATCTAGGCATTGATGCAGGACTGGAAAGTTTAAGTTCCCAGGCTAGTTAGGACAAGAATAAAATCATTTTCTCATACTTTGACCTACTTGATTTTAATAATTTATCAGCTTGTCTATAGTGACTTCATTTTATTTCTTCACTCTATTACTCAGATTCTAGGTAGCAAGACTATGATCAGTGACCACTAAATATTTATGTGAAATTCTTAGTTTCATAATACTTTTTAGGAATCGAGGTAATCTTCTTAATTATCACTGAATTTTAGATTGCTAATAGGTCATGAGATTACCTAGTCCAGAACTACAAACACAAATGTCTACCATATCCTCAAATGTCAGTGTGGTGGGGCATATAGGAGTGGTAGGGACTGTGGAAAACTGAAAAACATCTTCCCAGTCTGAAGGTAACACTTACTACTTGGCTCTGGCTGATGATTGCTAGAACCTACCAAAGACCAAAGGTTGCCAGTTCTTCCAGCTTTTTAGAACATGCCAAAAGTCTAAATTTTTGTGAAATTTTCTGACTTTAACATTTGGAACCAAATTCAAAATTAGAAAAACAATGATACCATTGCTTTTTTAAAAAAAAATCAAAGCTGAGGGCTGCCTCCAATAGTCAAACCTCTTCATTTTAAAAATAAACACAGGGAGATAGGCCTAAGAAGTTGAAATGCCTGAGGCTAAACAGCTCAGATCCAGATCCAGGGCTGGAAGTTTGATCTCCAAAGGAAAATTAGATTAGGAAAAACTGATGTTCCACTGCCTTTCTCTGCAGTCACTTTTCTCATTTGTAAGTTACCTCCTAACCAAACTCAGAAAAGATGGAAAAGTGTCTGTTTCATCCAGCAGTAGCAGTGTTTGTAAAATGTTTATAAATTAATAGAATCTGCTTAGCCAATAGAAATAGCGTTTGGTGTCAGATTAGGTTTTAAATCTTAACTTCTATTGTGTCTCAGTCATGGGAAAAATAAGATTATCGTTTATAAGGCTATTGAGAGGATGAAAAAAGATTACATGTTTGTAGTGTCTGGCACAGTACCAGAAACATACTAAACACATTGCACATGATAATTATAATATCCAGAAGAAATTATAATCGTTTGCACTATCCGTGGGGATGAAACGCGGA